CACATCCAGTTGTGACTTTGACTTACAAAGTCCCCCTTTTTCAGTGCATGGGGTCTCAGGTGACAAGATAGTATGGGCAGAGAGTGCTTTCAAGAGAGTATGACTTTTCTCTCGGTCTTTTGAAGCCAGAAGATTTCTTGAGCACCAGAAGCACAGATGGTGGGCGATGCCATAATCCTTTAGCTGTGGTCCTTCTTTCCCTCTGGGGAAAAGCAAGAGTTCTGAAAACGCAAAAGGAGCAGAGGGAACAGAGGTTTTCGCCATCTTGCTCCTTGCTACGCAGCCTGTCTCACACACAGATCACTCACACTTGTGGAATGACATTTATTGGAAGAGAACACACGTGCAGCGTACAGAGCTGGCAGTGCTGAGTCTGTGAGATGTGGCCATCTGGGTAACAGCTTAGCAAGTCATTTTGATAAATAATGCCATTCGGAGGAGAGTTTCCAACCAGCTGAGTGCCAGAACCCTTTCAGGAAGGCTTTTGCAATTCTGGCTCTTACCCTCCTTTTGTCAAAAACTCATTAGATCACACTCCACTTATGCTCAGCGTTTTGGGAGCATGAGAACATTTATCCTTGTTTTTTCCACTGTGAAATATTATTGGAAGATTACTATGAGCAGAGTAAGTACTACACAGGATGAAAAAAAAAATCTCAATTTATTATACAAAGACAAATTTCTTTTTTTAGACTTACTTTCTGGGTATGAGTGTTTAGCCTGCATGTGTGTATGTACACCATGTATAGACCTGGTACTCACAGAGGCCAGAAGAAGGTATGAGATCCCCTGCACCTAGAGTCACAGATGGTTGTGAGCCAACATATTGATGCTGGGAATTGAACCTAGGTCCTCTGCAAAAACAACAGTGCTCTAAATCACTGGCCATCTCTCCAGCCCCAAATAAAATTCTTAGGAATGTGGAATATCTCCTTTTCTTTTCTTGAAGAGGTTTCATCGTTTAGCTCAGGAGAAAAAAACTCATCTTTCTGTCTTAGGGTTACTATTGCTGTGAGCAAACACCATGACCAAAAGCAATTTGGGGAGGAAAGGGTTATTTCATTCACAGCTCCATGTGACAGTTCATCATCAAAAGCAGTGAGGGCAGGAAGTCACACAGGGCAGACACCTGGATGCAGCAGCTGATACAGAGGCCATGGAGGGTGCTGCTTACTGGCCTGTTCCCCATGGCTTCTCAGCCTGCATTCTTACAGAACCAGGGATCATCAGCCCAGAGGTGGCACCACCCACCATAGGATGGACCCTCCCCCATTAATCGCTAATTGAGAAAATGCCTCACAGCTGGATCTCATGGAGGCATTTCCTCAGCTGAGGCTTCTTCCTCTCTGATGACTCTAGGTTGCGTCAAGTTGACACAAAACCAGCCAGGACATCTACTAGTAAATGAAAAGTGAGGTTTTCTTTTTATTTAAAAAAGTTATTTACTATTAATATGTGTATGTGCACATGCATGCATCATATATGTGAGTGGTAGCATGCATGCTATGGCACATTTGTGGAGGTCAGAGGACTTAATGTCCTTCAGTGTAAGAATCTTTTGCTATGACTTCATCTTTCTTAGCTCATCACATCTTTCTCAAGTCTTACCAAAGTAATTTATAAACTGTCTAGGATCTGACCAAAGTTGAAATAACAATGGAGACTGGCAGTTTTAAAAGATTAAAAACCAGATCACAAATTTCATTATAAAATCACAAACCTCTAGTAAAAAAGACATAGGAAAAAAAATCTGAGATCAAGGGATAATCAAGGAGTTCCTAGGTTTGATAGTTAAAAGCAGGGCCTATAAAAAGAGAACTGGGCAGGTTAGATTTTGTTAATAGTAGAATTTCTTGCTTTGTAAATGAGCCAGGCATGTGACACATACCTCTACCCCAACTCTGGAGAGGCACAGGAGGAGGAAAGGGGTTCAGGGTCATCCTTGGGCATCCTGTGAGTTTGCGGCCAGCCTAGGCTATATGTGGCCCTGTCTCAAACAAACAACTGAAGTAGATGTGTCAATGGGTAAGCATACTTGCTGTTTAAGTATGAGGGCCTGAGTTTGGTCCCCAGCTCCTCTGTAAAAGCCAGATGTAGTCATTTGCACTGTAAACCTAGCACTAGGTATGAGGATTTCTGAAATAGTGACCGTCAGGCTCGGGGATAAACCTTGTCTCAAAAAAGATAAGGTGGAGAGCAATAGAAGAAGACACTGATGTCAACCTGTGGCCTTCACATGTGTGTGCCCCTGTTGACATCCCCTCACCCACATGCAGAAATAACCTGGAGAACACATGTAACTCAGTGGAAGAACATATCTCACCACTGCTCAAATATTGAGATGTTAAACAAAACGATTGATTTTGACCTCCCGCATGGTCTTAGACATAGAACAAGGTATCACCCAAAGTAAGATTATTAATAATAACATAAAAGAAGCAAATAATAGGCCAGGCTTGCATGCTCTCGATGGGCCACTGACAAGCCACCCCAGCTACAATCAAATACAGGGCTCTCATCCTTCTCTTGGCTGTAAACACATTGCTATTTTTATATTCCTGGTAATTCTGCTTTTGTTTCTTTTGTTCTGCAAAATCAGACTAGGACCACGCCAACATCCCCATCACTTGGAGACCCAAGTCTTTGTAGTGAAATTGGACTAAATCTATTATGATCTTAGTACTGATGCTGTTAAACTCTAACCCTTATGCACTCAGCTACTGTCTTGAATTTTATCTACTCTTTACAGTTTATTCACACTCAGATGAGCCTGGAACCATCTATCTCATCCCCTTGACCACCCTTCAGTGCCTGAAAGTCAGTTAAGTGGGAGACTCTGAAGCCATCTACACCCCAGTGTCTGCTAGAATCAATCAGATTGGTCTGTGCCCATCTCCTAGATGATTTTAGGGTCTTAACTCTTTAGAGGAGAATGTTAGGTAGCTAGATAATTATTAGAACCATCGAGGAAGGAACCCTCTTTAATGGCATCTCCTCTCTCCAAAATTTACATTAAGTAGCCTTGGAAACCATTGAAGAAGGGCCCTTCCTTCACAGCATCCTTGTCCTCCAGATTTTCTGGTACCAGACACTGCTCCAAGAAATCCCAATGAGGATGCCAATCTTGTCCAGCAGGAAAGACACATATGACCACAGCTTACCTTCTCCACCCATCTCTGGAAGCTAAAGTCAGGAATGTTAGCCATGGCAAACTTTATTTTTATAGTTTGGTTAAATAGTAGCAGTTTTCACAAAGCACAGTTTTAAGCATTCCAGAACTAAAGCCTAGATTCCTTCCCCATCCCATCCCTGAAGACCCTTGATATCAGCTGTCCATAAGAGATGTTCTTTGGTCACCTGGAAATTTTTTCAAGGCTCAGTGTAGTCCTCGATATCCTGGAACTCACTCTGAAGACCAGGCTGGCCTCTAACTCAGAGATCCTCTGCCTTTGTCTCCAGAGTATTGGGATTAAAGGTGTACACCACCACTGCCCAGTGGAATTCTTTTACTTATCACCATTCTGTAGTAACTCCTAGTGACAGCCAATCTTGAATCAAAATAAAAGGGGGGGGGAGCTTTTACCCTCATTCCCCACATCCTGCTTCTGCTCTGTAACCATCTCAGTTTGTAAGCGTTTGGAGGCTCTGATTTTACAGAGACCTCCTGTTCCAGGTTTCCCCAATATAGACCTGTACTGTATTTAAAAAATGTGGTATCCCTGTGATGGCTAGTGTGTTGCTGGAGGTTTCTATCTTGACAGGTCCCACTGCTTCAGCCCCAAATGAACACACAGAGACTTAGATTAATTATAAAACTGTTGGTCAATGGCTAGGACTTCTTACTGACTAGCTCTCTCTTAATTATTAACCCATAACTACTAATCTATGTATTTCTACATGGCCTTATCCTACTGGAGAACGCCTGGTGCAGTCTGTCTCCCTACCTTTCCTAGAATTCTCCTCATCTCCTAGTCCCGCCTCTATTGGCCAAACGGTGTTTTATTCATCAACAAGAGAAACACATATGCAGAAGGACATCCCCCATCAATGGCTAGTGTGTTGCTGTCAAATTGACGCAGAGTATCAGTGTGGATTGTCAGGACTGTGCTGGCCTGAGAGCATGTCTGTGAGAGTTTTAGTTGGGCCAATTGAGGTGGGGGCACCTAACCTGAATGTGGCCAGCACCACTTCATAGACGGGGCCCTGGACTGAATGAACGGGAGAGAGCCAGCTAAGCACCAGCATGCATGCATTAGTCCATTGCTCCCTGCTCCCGACTGTAATGTGTGTAATCTGTTCTCTTGGGCTCTTGCCGCTGTGATTTCCCTATAACAATAAACTGTGACCTGGAACTGTGAGCTAAAACAAACCTTATCCCTCCATTGCTTTTATCAGAACATTTTGTCACAGTCACAGGAAGTGAAGCTAAGTCGCCCCAAATACCCAGTGTCTGTCATCTCTCTGTGTGCTTGTTGGAGCTAATGCATTGCTTTGCAGCACACTCACCTGGAGAACCTGCTGGAACTGCTCCATAGCACCCCACTAGGGAAGTCAGATTTGTAAAATATCTCTTTTCCCCTGATTTGCTAGCTTTGTTAGTAGCCGTTTGTTTCTAACACTGTCTTCTATAGATTTAGTACATGTAAGTTCCATCAGGCCATATATACTAATAGTCACTCTAAAAGTACCCAGCCCTTCTACACGCCACATCTCAAAATGCTTTGTCTCTTCTTAAACGTATCACTGCGTGTATGAAGCTAAACATTTTCATGAAAACCCTCCCATTGGGTCACAGCTAAGATCAGAAATCTGTAAACTAGTACCAGACAATGATAACTTATTTTGATCCTGGGATTTCCTGCTAAGAAGGTGGCAGTAATAGCAGACTTGAATCATGGTTTTATAAAATACCTGGGTTTTGTTTGTTTGCTATCAGCTGGACTTTCCATCTTGAAAGAGTTGGGTGGATTCTTGCCTTAATTATTAACATCTGTTCCTTTGATTTCAGTGGTACAGGCATGGATGGGAAGAAATGCAGTGTATGGATGTTTCTACCTCTTGTATTCACTTTGTTTACTTCAGCTGGCTTGTGGATAGTGTGAGTATACTTAGTTAATAATTTAAGGATTCTAGTGTAATATAGAGAAAATCCAAGTTTTGGTACTAGGGCATATTTATATAAATGTATTTATGAATAACATAATATATATATATATGTCAAATGGTTAGTTTTTTTAAAATAAACATATATACTAATTCAACTTTACTAAAGCTTCCATTCTTCTCATCCTTTATTACTTAAAGTAAAATAACAAAACTGAATAATAGATTATTTAAAATAGGTAAGTCTGTCTTTAAAATACATGTGGTATCCCTGTGATGGCTAGTGATGAAGACTGGCTTTGTTTGTGTTCTTTTCCTTCCTCTCCCTCTTTCACCCCCTCCCCACCCATCCTCCTTTTAAGGCAAGGTCTTACTATGTAGACTAGGCTGGCCTTGAACTTGCAACAGCTCGCCAGCCTCTGCTTCTGACATGGGGAAATCACAGGCATGTACCACCACAGCCACACGTTCTCATGAAGCTTTTCTTTGTTTGGGGGCCGAGTCTCACCCTATAGGCTGGTGTGAAGCCTGTTCTGGGATGACTGGCTTATACCACCATAATGTGTGTCTTGAAAACTGGCTATATGAGTCCATTTGCAATGTAGTTGTGACAAGACCTGAGGTGTTTATAAAGTAGGTATCATTACACTGAAAGGCCTGGCTTACCACCAAAAACAGGCCCCATAGCTGCTGGTTTCAATCAACATTTGTCTTAAGAAAACTCATGAGGAACAGCTTCAGTGGACTGGGGCTGTAGGTCAGTGAGAGCCCTTGGATAACCATGGGCTCTGTCTTAGCTACTGTTCTATTGCCATGAGAAAACACCATACCCAAGGCAACTTACACAAGAAAGCATTTGATTTGGAGCATCCAGATTCAGAGAGTTAGAGTCCATGATTGCAGAGCAAGGGCATGGAGGCTGGAAGCTGGGAATGCACATCTTCATCTGCAAGCAGGGAGTAGAGAGAATCAGAAGGGATGGTGTGAGTCCTTTCAACCTCACAGGACACATCTCAGTGACAACTTTTTCCAAAAGACCACACCTTCTAAATCTTCCCAAACAGTTCCACCAACCAGGGACCAAGTCTTTATTCTCATTCAAACGACCACAGTGGGGGGGAAGGGGGAGGGTAAAACAGAAAAGGAAAAATGGTAATCACACATTCCTGAGACATTGTATTAAACTTACAATGTTTGTCTCCCACCCCTAGTTTTCAGATGATAATTATCACTGTTAGTTTGGGGTCTCTTTTGAGGGGATTTTTATTGTCCATATGTCTCTTGTGGGTATGAGCACATGAGTGTAGATGCATGCAGAGGCCACAGGCATCAGATTCCCCTGGAGCTGCACACACAGGAGGTTGCGAGCTATCTGACATGGGTGCTGAGTGTTATGAGTACGTTTTTCCTGCCGGTCTGGTCCCACCGCCTTGCCAGCCCCAAATAATACACAGAGACACTGTATTAGTATAATTCTGTTGGCCAGTTACTAGTTTCTTATCGGCTAGCTCTGTCTTAATTATTAACCCATTCCTATTCATCTAAGTACTTCTACATAGTCTTATCTTACTGGAGAGAGGGGCTGGCATTCCCTCTCCATCCTCCATCTTGACTCCTCCCTACTACTTCCTCTCTCCTCCTTGTCTCCTAGTCCTGCCTATCTTGCTTTCCTATTGGCCAACAGTGCTTTATTCATTAACCAATAAGAGAAACATATTTACAGAATGACATCTCCCATCAGCTGAGAACCCAACTTGGGTCCTCTGCAAGAACAGCACACGCTCTTACCTGCTAAGCCACATCTCTGGTCCTGATAATCACAGCATGTGAACTTTACAGCACTGGTGACCTATGGCTAAAGAATTACAGTTGGCAGGGCTGTGGTGATCCACACTATAATCCTAGCACTTGGAAAGCTGAAGCAGGAGAATCATAGGTTTTAGGCCAGCCTGAGCTATGTAACAAATCCCAGGCCAGCCAGTGGTACAATGGGATCCTGTCCCCAAAGAAAAATAAATGTAGTTAAATACCTTTTTCTGTTTTCTGGTAGTTTGTTGGGGGTTTTGAGAGTTTCATGTAGCTCTGGCTGGTCTTACACTCCCTGTGTAGCCAAGGAGCTTCAATTCCTGATCCCACTACCTCCATATCCCAAATACTAGAAATACAGTTGTATGCATGCAAACATGCCTAGCTAAAAAGCATTCTCTTAGTTAGAAAATAATGGATATGGCATATATTCATGATATAGATAAAATAGATATTTAACCTGATTAAAAAGAGAAACAATTCTTAGGGTGTTTTTTTTTTTTGTTTTGTTTTGTTTTGTTTTTTTTGTTTTTTTGTTTTTTGTTTTTTGTTTTTTTGCTTTAAATTTTTGTTTTATAAACTGGCCATTCTTTCTTGCTAGGTACTTTATAGCCGTGGAAGATGACAAAATTTTGCCATTAAATTCAGCTGCAAGGTAAAGTTTACACCTAGAGAATTCACTATTCCCCCATAGAGTTATAGCAACTTTGCCTTAACCTGTGCCTCTGTGTTTTCTGTTATCTAGGAAATCTGGCGCGAAGCATGCCCCGTACATCAGGTAACTTTGATTCTGCCCAACCTGTTGAACTTAAGGAAAGTCCATGTCAGACCCACGAAGTTACAGATTTGAATAGCCAGACTCTAAGGCTACGTCTTTTTCCAGTTTTGCAGGCGACGATCCTCCTGCAAGCTGTGTGTTCAGTCAAGTGATGAACATGGCCGCCTTCCTAGGTAAGATGAGCAGGAACAGTGCTTTGTGGGCTCTGCCACATTTCTGTTTTAAATCCTCCTGAATCCATATCAAAACAGTGGGGGACCTGTGCCGTGCGTGCATGTCGGGTCTGTATGCTGAAGGCCACTCCTTAAGGGTCATTTCCCCCTTGTAAATCCTTCTGCGTCCCCCTGCCTCCTTCCCAGCCCTCTTCCCTTTACCATCTTTATCTGCTGCTTCACACTCAGAACTTTATTTCTTTTGCTGCGTGAGATAATATATTTCACTGTCATAGAATCTTGCTGAGACAGTGATAGGATGCACATGTCTTATTTATTCCTTCCCTGGCGAAGATGGGTGGAGCAGGCTTTCTTTCTGGCAGCCAATCAGCCCCCAGATCATAACATGGTGACTTATTATTAGTTATGAATGCTGGGCCTTACCTTATGTCTGTCCCACTAGCTCTTATAACAGAACTTAACCTGTTTCTCTTCTTCTACCCTTTTGCCTTGGTTTTTTTTTTTTTTTTTTTTTTTTTTTTTTACCTTTCTTTTATTCCTGCTTCCTCCACTTCTGGCTGGATGGCAGCTGCCTGCCTGGCTCTGATATGCCCCACATTTCTCCCTTGTTCTCTCCTTCTCTCTCTTTGTACTTATCCTCTCTGCCCACCAGCCCCACCTCTCCCTCCTCTGCCTAGCTATTGGCCATTCAGCTTTTTATTAGACTAATCAGGTGCATTAGGCAGGCAAGGTGAAACAGCAACACATCTTTACATAATTAAACAGATGCAGCCTAAACAAATGCAACACACCTTTGCCTAGTTAAAGTAATATTCTGCGGCAATGGGGAAGTAGAAGGCTCTGTGATGCATTTTATCTCTGTTAACACTGACCCTAGGATGGCCCCCTCCTGTGTGCTCACGTACATGTCAAGCTGCCATGTGAAAAAGAACGATTTCTTACAGCACCAAACCCTCCTTTAACATCCTGTCCCCCAGGATCTGCAGGTACTTTCAGGGCCCTGCCAGTCCTCTGGAGATGGTGGGATCCAGCCATGCTCTTTTCTCTTATGGAATCTACTTTGTATAGCCTTTCTCCAAGTCAGGCCTTCTGGGTGTCTTGTCAGCTAGCTGTCACTGTTGGCATGCTGTTGGGAGAGGACCAGGGACAGCACAACACCCCCAGGTTTTTGAAGGAACGCTTTTGGTTGGTTGGGGGTTTTGTTTTGTTTTGTACAGTGAGACTTCCATTGCTAGCAGAAGATACAGATAGGACTGCAAAGACAGCTCCAGCTTTTGTTGTCTTTCTCCCCTATATCTGTATAGTTCACTTACACATAGACCCTTCTCTCTCTACTCCAAAACGATTTGTTACTCATACCTAATGTTTGCGTGCCCCCCCATACTTTGAGATAGGGTTTTACGTAGCCCAGGCTGGCCTTAAACTCACTATGTAGCTCAGGATGACCTTGAACTTCTGATCTTCCTGCTTCTATCTTCCAAGTTCTGGGATTGCAGGCATGCACCACCATGCCCAGTTTCTATGGTTCTGGAGATCACATCCAGAGTTTTGGGCATGGTGGGCAAACATTCTACCAATTGACCCCCAGCCTTGTGTATATTATATTATTATTATTTATTATTATTATTACTCCTCCCCCTTCTTCTTGATACAGGATCTAATTTAGCCCAGGCTAACCTTGAATTGATGTAACAGATGACTTTTAAACTCCTGCTCCTCCTGCCTCCATCTCCCAAGCATCGGATTAAAGCCATGTATACTTTTTTAAAGATTTATTTCTAATTTGTGTATATGACTTGTGTCTACATGCATGTATGTACATCACTTGCATGCCTGGAACTCATGGCAGTTATTAGTGGCATCAGATGCCCTGGAACTGGAGCTTCTGACAGTTGTGAGCTACAGGGTGGGTGCTGGAATGAAACCAGGTCCCCTGCAAGAACAGCTTGCTCTTAACTGCTACACCATCTCTCCAGCCACTGGAAGATTGTTGGTTCAGGACGCAATATGGGCAGAATCTCAGTTGGTCCAAAAAACTCAAACCATGAAAAACACGAAGAACACGCTGAGAGAGGGAGTCTGCAGTTCACAAAGGTTTTCCCTGGGGTAAAATGTTCTTTTGTCAATGCCTTTTCCTGCCCAGGTGTCACCTAACCTAGAAGTGTCTGCCCACAAGCACCAGGTCACATGCTGGGTCACTGGCTCCTTAAAGCAGCCTTTCCTTACGGCCCTTGACCACGAGGTTTGCATATCCCAGGTGGTCACAGTGCTTAAGGACACAGCTCTCAGCAGAAAGTACCTATGTGTGACCAGTTAGTCTTCCCAGCCTTCAGCCTCATAACTGCCAGCTTTACACCCCTTTCCCCTTCTCTTGACACGTGCTCTTCTAAAAACACCCAAGCCAGGCATGGTGGCACATGCCTTTAAACCCAAACATCTGAAGGCAGAGGCAGATGGATATCTGAATTCAAGGTCAGCCTGGGCTACATGGAAAGTCTCTGCCTACAAATAAGTAATAAATAAATAAACAAATGCCCAGTAAATTCACTCATACCATGGCCTAAGTGGCTACCTACAAATTCTTTCAGTTAACAGAGAACAAAGCCCCAAGAGGGAACTGGGATTGCAGGGCTGGGGCCTTCCACAGACCCTCCTTGATCACGGCGCACAGGCCTACAGGCTGACAACCTCTGCGGTGAGCATCATCCCCTAGGGCCCAACACAGCCGTTAATAGCTGTGATGTCTACCCCAGAGCCATGGCTGAGTACTCTCCAGACACTGCTTCATTTTATCACACACACAGGAGCCCGCCTTCATGCGGACGCTGTCACAGACTGTCCTCCATTGGGCTGTAAAGAAACCAGTGAGCATGCTGCAAGCTACGCGTTGTCTTCCTTTGCATTCTATGGTCGAATTGATATTTCCCAGTAGTCTTAAGTATAGATAGGATCTAAAAATGGCCAGTTTGCACACCTCACAAGTCACGCCGTCACGCACGAAGCCCGTGATTAACCAATTGTAAAAGCATGTGCAGATACCAGCAGTACAAGTGAAACCCCTCTTCCAAGTGACATCCATCACCATCTGATTCTCTCGCTCTCCCCGCTCCACCAAGAAGCAATTAAGCTTGTGCCAGCTTCTGCTGGAAGGCACTGCAGCAACCAATGCTCAGTCTTTATTATCTCTCATCATGTTTGATGCCATCTGGTAGACACAAAACTGATTAAGATGAGTGTTCAGTGAGAGCAAAACAGCAATTACTTATTTATCAACTCCGGGAGTGGAAAAGAATCCATTTCTTACTAAAGATTATTGCTATATATGGAGGGCGCTTTCTCCTCCCCAGGCCGGTCCCTGATAGACCTCAGGCTTTACGCTCTCCAACTGCCTTTAAAAATAGTCTTTGCTGCTTACTAGTCACTGTTTTTGACAGCGGTATAAAGTGTAATTTATAGTCTAAAAAAGAGGGTCCATGCGGTGCTTATTAAGATTAGCAAAGATCTTTTATCTTTTTGACAGGCTAATCAAAGAGTAAATGCTGGGTCATTTTCTTCACAGAATTAGCTGCGTTCTTTGTCCTAAATGTACACTTTCCTCTCCACTAGGGGGGAGGGGGAAGAACCCAAGACTAATGTGTCTGTCTAAAGGAATGTCTTTCCCCCTGGCCTGGGGAGGCTGTGAGGGTGAAGGTAATTGCTACGTGTTTTCAGATACCTAATGTGGCCGCCTGCCTCCTTCTGCCAAAGCGTGCTCCCTGTCTTGCTTTATTGCAGCCTTAAGTAGGAATCACTGATACATAGACAGCAAAGCCAGCAAAGTGAAACAAATAGAAGTTGGTCCAGTGTGGCGCCGACTCAGGGCTGCCGTGGGGAGATGCCATTCTGAGTTTCTGACTTGGAAACTCAAATCAGCTTTTAAATATTTCATTTTTAAAAGTCAGCTATGTTTCTATTTGTGTTCTTTTAAAAATACAGAAGAAAATTAGATAGGGACACCCAGCTAACAACAACAAACTTATAGAGACTAAATATAGCAAAGGAGTAGATTTTAAAGTTCTTTTTTTAAGCCTGGCATGGTGGCACATGCCTTTAATCCCAGCACTAAGGAGGCAGAGGCAGGTGGATCTCTGTGAGTTCAAGGCCAGCCTGGTCTACAGAGTGAGTTCCAGGACAGACAATGCTACACACAGAGAAAACCTGTCTTGAAAAAAAAAAAAAAAAACAAATGAACAAAAAACCCAAAAAACAAAATAAAAGGTCTTTTTCTAAAACTGTTGATAAAAGAATATAAGTTTATTACATCTTTCTGAGGGGATTGGTGTTTGCTGGGGAGACAATATGCACAAGTTATAACAGGTGTGACGGTCAGCTGTCAACTTGTAAAAGTTAGTTTTCTCCTGAGATGTGAGTCCTGCGGATTGAACTCAGGTTGCCAGGTTTGCACAAAAATAGTAATTTTCTAAAGTTTTAAAATATATCTGTTGGCCAGAAAGTAGCTGTGGTGAGAATAGGTCTGCATATGTCATATGAAGATTGAAATTGTCATATTCCTAGAAGTTACTTTTATGAAGTTAAAACTTGATCACTCTTTGGTGAAAATTGATCTTTTTAACAGATAATTTTTGACTGGAGGCAGATTCAGTTTGTAAATTCCTATAAAGTCAAATTTTCATTAATTCCATCTTTCTAACTAGAATTCATATTAAAGGGAGAGACTGTCTCTTGCCTGGTTAGTATAGGGTTGGTGGATTAAAAGAGCAAAGCCTGGTGTTTGAAATATAACTGTTGAAACTGGGTGAAATTATTATATTCAAATAGGTTTCTGTTCATGAGAAAGTGGCTTCTCACCCATATTCCAAATAGGAAGACACTGCTTTCAGGAGATGAGCAAGCCCATGCCTCTTGGTAAGACATGCATAGTGCCTAGAGTACCTCAAACCCTCCCTGCAGCAGGGGGGGTCACAGACTGTCAGGTGAGTCTGTGTGAGGACCCATACTGGGGTCTGGCTTTAGGGTGTAGGCTAAAGTTCTGCACACCATGTCCCACAAATTTAAATGCCCAGCAGAGGGTTCCCAGGGAAATACTTTTCACTAGTTGTCTTTTAAAACTATCAAATGTAATTGGTATGTTTGTGTTTTGTCCTGCCATGGCATCATACAGTGTTAGTTAGCAAATGTTTGTACGAGGTCCTGCGTTGAGCCCCTCAGTCCTCATATATGGCTTCCTTATTATCTCTCCCTGAAATTAACACTCTCACATCTTCTTATGTTTGTAGCCTAAAAACGAATACAGCATCATGCTTATTCTCATCCCAAGGATACAGATGTAATTAATAGACTCCTGGTGCAACTCCAGTGATATTGGTTGGAGAACTCCTGTCAACTTAGTTATTATCTGATCAGTTATAGTCCCTGGCTGGAACATGTACCGAAAGCTATATCCAGATGAATACTTTGCAGTTTTGTAAATCATGGTTTATCCATATTTTGATTACAGAAATTCAGACTTGAATCATGTTTTATTCCCATTACTGGGAATGGGGATGAGCCAGAGGTACTCATAGCTTGACACAGTGAAGTCTAGCAACCTGAGAAATGCAAACATGTGGATGACTTTTCTCTATTAATGGCTAGAGAGATGAAGGCCTGGAGCAAAGGTTAAACCTTAGTAAATAATTTCCAATTTAATTGCTATATCAATAGGGGAATTTCATCTTTCCTTCTGAAATATAACATCAAAATAGTCTTAGGAAGTCATTACTACAATCCCTTATATGTAGATATGATTTAAATTAATTGCCAATTGTCTTCCATCATTTATAGACTATACATGTATACATACACACACATAAGAGACTGTCTCTGCACTAAGTAATAAAAGGTGATTTTTAGGTCAGTGGCTTGAGTGCAGACTGTCCCCAAGGCCTCTATTAGAAGGGGTGTTTGAAATCTAACTTCCCCATTCTGCCTTCATATGCTCAGTTCACTTTTTAAAAGTGTCCCTTTAAAAATGAGTGATTCATATCATTTGAAAGAATTGAGTTTTTAAAAATGAGTGACTAATATCATTTGAAAGAATAGAGTTTTTAAAAATGAGTGACTAGTATCATTTGAAAGAATTGAGTTTTTAAAATGAGTGACTAATATCATTTGAAAGAATTGAGTTTTTAAAAATGAGTGACTAATGTCATTTGAAAGAATTGAGTTTTTAAAAATGCGTGACTAATGTCATTTGAAAGAATTGAGTTTTAGTGGATACGGTTTGTCCAGATGTGGCAGCCTTGCCCTCATTCCTGTGCCTTCTGCCCTTTCCGTCCTAACCCTGCTCTAAGCTGAAGGAGACTGGCCAGCGAGCCCCCCCCCCCCACCGCCATGTTCTTTGTCCTGGTGTTCTTTGTTTGGTACGGTGCCTCTGCGATGCTCCCCCAGGTCAGCCTGTTCTTTGCCAGTCTTGCTCTGAGAGCCCGAGAACAGCCCTGTCAACAATGCTGCCACCCTTGTACACTGCTGGAAGGGCCACATTCGGCCTGGCTGTGGAACATCCCCTGGCTCCCCAAAAGTTACGAATAGTAAGGCATCTGAAAGGTCTAAGCATTGAATGAAAAGCTTCTTTGAAAGTTGTCTGTCTGTCAAGAACTACAAGTAACTGAGGCATTCTGACAGTGGGAAAATAGTCTTCACCAGGGAAGAGCACATTACTTGATTATCCAATACCAAATGGTCAGCCTTGAAAACATGCCTGCAAATAGCAGTTACAGACCAAGCTGTTTGTATTTATGTGTTTAGGAATGTGCGCGTGCGCGCGCGCATGCGCGCGCGCATGCGCGCGCGCGCGCAAACATATATGTATCTAACAACAATTAATGAAGAAAGGAAGCCATGAGTTTGGAAGATAGCAAGTAGGTGTGCATGGGAGCGTTTGGAGGGAGGAAAGGGAAGGAGAAAATGACATAATTACATTATAATCTCAAAATAAAATCAAAGAAATAATAAAGAAAACTTTTCTGTGGTGAGATTTAAACTCTGCTGTGAAGACACATGCATGGTGGCACACGCCTGTAATCCCAGCTCTCGGGGAGGTGAAGGGAGCAGGTTCCTGAGTTTGAACCTGGACTGCATACTAAGTTTCCAGGCCACCAGCCTGAGCCTTGTCTCAGAAAAGGTTTTCAAAGGGTCTTTTTTTTTTTTTTTTTTTTTTTTTCCACATTATGGCTTTAGACTTCTGCCTTAGTCTAGGTGTGTGGTTTACATTCTTTAATTTTAAGGTTTGTTTTATTCTAGCCCTGGTGGTAGCTATTCTGCGCTTCATCCAGCTGAAACCAAAGGTTTTAAACCCATGGCTGAATATTAGCGGATTGGTGGCGCTGTGTCTGGCTTCCTTTGGAATGACCTTACTTGGTAATTTCCAGGTACTTCCTCTGGCTTTTTCCCCTCCTTCTCATGCTGGTAAGATTATTCACTTGTAGGTTGTGGCAGCCTAAGGTCTCCATGTGACCCATATAATTCCGTGTGAACTTGAGAAACAAGTTTGCACTTTGATTCTGCATCTGTTATCTTCAGGGTCTCTGCACCCGCGCCTCTTCCCTCGCCAGTGCTAACTGCAGATGCAGATGACTGATGAGCAGGGGAGGTATCCTAGAACAGCTGTGTATTTCCAAAGAGGGTGCTTTACAGAGTGTTTCACACTTGTCTTCATTATAAATCATATTGCAGTGTGCTTCTAGAAAATTACTAAGATCACTGCCTCTTGATAATTAAACACAGACTGGCCGTATTTGGTGTAAGCACACATTTCAGAATAGCAAGTTCCCATGAATTCAGGATGGGAAGCCCAGAATTTCTCCAGAACCCCTCACTCATCCTCAGAACTCAGAAGCCCTCAAGCACAGCTGGAAGAGAGATTTCCTTGCCAGTACTGCGGCATCTTCCCCTTGTTCTGAATGGCTTTATTTATTCTACAGTTGGCTGATCCCCTGCCTCCATTCACTCCGCACTGTAGTCCACCCTTCATCGCTACAAACCTCTCTTGTGAGCAAATGAGAGAGATATCTGGTCCTCCCCTCTGATCTGCTGAATGAACTCTAAATGATATAGGCACTCAAGGCCCTCAGCATTCTAGCAAACACAGTCATGTTCTCACCAAAACACACTCATGGGCTTTCCATGGCTCTGTCTCCTTCTCCTTCTGACCCTCACTCTTACTGATTCATTAAACCAGGACCGTCTGATCCTCAAGACCTCAACCTTGGCACACAGTAGCAACTAATTTTTTTTTTTTTTTTTTTGGCATTATGAGTTGTTTGGCATTCCCACTCTGTATCAAGCTGAATGAGCATTGCCTAGGATAACAGATGGACAACAGCATATCTGTTGAGATTGTTGCTGAGATCTTGGTGGTGACTGGTGCTGTGCTGAGCTGCCTGTCAGTACTACAGATGTGGGCATAACTTAAAGTAAATAGCACTCGCCCCACCAGGGCCCTGAGCACTGAAGAGTAGCCGAGAGCGAGTTTCATCCTAAAGTCCCAGAAGAATCCCAGAAATGGTGGTCTTGAAGAATGACAGAATCTAAAGGTATGAACAATAACACTGGATACGAAGAACCATCGCTGGAGTATCTACAATAATCAACCACCTGGAGCTTGGCATAAGAAACATTTCGATAGCTGCCTCGTTTTATAAACTTATAAAAGTTTGAACCATATGATGGTGTTACCTATTTTAAAATCAGGTAAAGATACTGACAGTAAATGAAATGGGCTGCATTTGACATGAGAAATGGATTTCCTGGAAGTGAAATTTAACTTGAGAAATCATTATTTTAAGTAAAATTTGAAAATATACCTTTTGAAATATGAGGGGAAAGTGTCTTCCTAGCGGGGGGAGGGGGGTTAGGGAGCGCTACAACACAAAAAATAGAAAAATTATAAGGGAAAAGTGATATTGGTTTGATTGAATACTATGGCAACACTGTCAAACTGTCAAACACCTGAGGTTACTGTAGAGTTCTAAAGCAATTATTTCACCGTAGTTTAAAAGCTGTCTCTTCAGTGGCTCTTTTTTTTTTTTTTTTTTTTTTATGTGCACTTAAAATGCAGATAATTTCAAATGGTGTTTTCAGTGATGGGCGCCTTTTGTAAAGTAGCTAGGTAATGATTCACAGAGCTCATTACATCTCTTAACAACCAACTGAAATAACCCAAAGGAGTCCCAGTGTCCGACTCCACGGATGCCCTGAGGATGGGTCTTCAGCACAGCCGTTCTTTAATGGCCGGTGGACCTGGCTGACACTCGGAGCCTGCAGATTTCTTTATTACTATAGGAAAACAAAACCCAGAGAACTCCTGTCAACGCTGAGTAGGTTGAGTCCCACAGACAGGACAACTGTTCCAAGGGGTGTCACTGTGTGCCCGCCAAGTGTTCTCGTGCCAGGACTGGCAATTCCCAGTAAGTGCACAGTCACACCCATCCTGCTCCTTCGATCAGCCTTGGGAAGCAGAGTCTGGGATGTGTGCCCATAGAAACTTGACATTTCCTTTTTTGTGTAATTTTCCTGCTTCTTAATTTCCTTTCCTTAAAAGCTTTTTCTGGAAAATTAATTCAGGAAGCGGATCCCATCCTCTGCTTGTTTTTAAGTTTGGGGAAACCTGTCTCTTTTTCTCCCCCTCTGTGGTTTTTCACCATTTGAGAACCAACACAGAGTCAGTAGAGATGAAAAAGTCAAATTTTTCCAAGCTCTCTGGCCTCACTGTCTAGAAGTTCTTTTCCTATCTTTCCCTCATATTTTCATCTGCCAACACGTTTTCAAAATGAGCCTCCACGTAGCTTCTCTTTTCCCCAGCTCACAAATGATGAAGAAATCCATAACGTGGGGACATCCTTGACCTTTGGGTTTGGCACACTGACCTGCTGGATACAGGCTGCACTGACACTCAAAGTCAACATCAAGAATGAAGGGCGGAGAGTTGGAATTCCACGAGTCATCCTGTCAGCTGTTATCACTCTCTGTGTAGTCCTGTGTATCCTTTGAAGGCTCTTTGCCAGGGACAGTAGAACACAGGTAAGTTTTATATGTAGAAGAAGAGACCATTGCCCTCCCTGGTATGTAGAAAAACTGTCAGATCAGAGTGTCAGACCAAAATGTCATAATGAACCCAATACTTTGTATGCTAGCTTTAAAAATGAATAGCCAGGAGCTAAGAGATGACTCGGTAGTCAAGAGCACTGGCTGCTCTTACAGAGGACTGGAGTTTGAACCCCAGCACCCACATGATGGCTCACAACTGTCTGTAACTCCAGATAGAGGGGATCCAACATCCGCTTCTGGCCTCCTCAGACACTGAGCACACTAGGGGTACACATACACACTTGTAGACAAAGCACTCATACACAAAAAAAATCTTTTTAAAAATGAATAAATTAAAACTAATAGTCAGGGATGGTGGAGCATAAGTGTAATCCCAGAACCTGGGAGGTGCAGGCAAGAGAGTTGGGAGTCTAAGATCATCCCTGACTACATGGTGAGTTCAGGGCTACATTGACTATGCCAAACCCTGTCTCAAAAATAAATAATAACTTAAAATTGATTTTTAAAAAACTGTAAAATCAGATGTTTATGCCAAGGAGAGACGGGAAACTAAAATGGAAGCAGATTCTGCCATCTGAAGATTATTTCAGCCTATGGGAAAGGTGTCATCATGTATTCGGTCTCCCACCATATAATGTCTCCATTTATGAAAACCATGGCGCAAGAAGTCCAGAACAGTGTGGGATTTTTCTCAACCACTGTTCCCTGGGGCAGACAGGACTTTTCCTGTCTCTTGTCTTCTGTCTGTCTGTCTGTCTGTCTCTTTACCTCTTTGCTCTTTCCTTCCCTTATTTTGTTATCTCCCCCTCAATAAAACTTTCAATATGGAAAAAATTCATCTATGACTTTAAGTCCTATTAGGATTAGGTCATTTATTATCCTTAAAATGAATTTCAAGGGACAAATGTTCATCTTTCAGGACTATAAATTTTACTGGAGAACAAATTCAGGAACTAGATCACCTACAGTGTGTGGTTTTCCTGACTAAATACTTGAGGCTTTGGGGTGCTGTTCATGTCCTTTTCTCCCCTTGGAGTTTGAAGCAATGGAGAAGAAGAGCGGGGTGAAACTCAGCTTTTATTCCTAGTAAACTGGGGAAGAACGGCCCAGGCCATCCACACCTCACCTGCCCATCAACCAGCAGAAGAAAGGAAAGCCCCCTTAAACCCCAGACAAGCCCCACTGCTGGCTAGGGCAGGGTTCAGTGATAACCACCAGTAAACTGGCCCAGGAGAAGTTGCCAGTTCCCATCTGTGTTGGTCCCTTTTCTGTTGGCTATGATAAAGTACCCTGACCAGAAGCAACTTAGAAGATGACAGGGTTTGTTTTAGCTTACAGATCCAGAGGGTTAGTGTTCATCATGATGGGAAAAGCATGGCAATAGATAGGGAAAGCAAGATGGCTGGATCAGGAAGCTGGCTGTTCACATTTTCACCCATACACAGGAAACAGAAAGGCCTTCAAAGCCTGCACTCAGTAACATACTTCCCGCAGCAAGACTGCATCTTCTAAGAGTTCTGTAACCTTCCCAAATGTAGCCACCAACTGGGGGTGGACTTTTCCGGTACATGAGCCTGTGGTTGGCGTTTCTCATTCAAGCCACCACCCCACTGTCAGTTACCCAGTGCACAAAGCAGATGAAGGGAGAATCCGCCTTTATTCCTAGTATAGATCAGCGTGGCTCAGGCTGATCTATACCCTGCGGTACCCACATTTACTCACAGGTTCTCCTGAAGAACCAGAAGAGGGAGTCACGATTCCTAAGTGGTCAAGTCCAGCTAACAGTTACATGCCTCGGTGATAGTAACCACCAGCATGTGCTGGGCATTTATTATATCTCGCCATCACTGTAAGCACTTGAAATGCATTGATTCTTTTAATCACAGGCTGAGATTCGAAGGTAGGTTAATTTGTCCAGAATGACAAAGACTGTAGCAACCTGATAAAATATGATCAAAGAAGTCAAAGCTGCCATTTCCCCCGTGAGTTAACGGGGAGGCACTGGTGATACTTTCTGTCCTCAGTCAGAAGAAGGTGCACAGACTTACAGTGACTCTGGGCTGACAGCCCTTGGCTCTGATCCTGTTGGATCTGAACGCTTGGAAGTGTTAGTATCTGGGTTTCCTGGATCCAGGCTCAGTTAAGGGACCAAAGTTTGCCTGATGTAAACACTTACCTGTTCTTTATTCTGAGTCTCTAGAGATTTTAGGTCTGTAATTTAAAGATGGAACACAGACACAAGTTCTCAGATGTCTAGGGATGTATCTGATTTTTCTGAATGTTTTGGTTTTTAGAGTCTTCAGAGTTCACTAAAACGCTGTGAGCTTTTTGCTCTTAGCTCCTATGTTTCCATGTACAGGATCACATGTATGTGCATACACATTACATGTGTTACATATGTGCATTTCTTTTATGTAGGTGTACATATATTTAGGAATAGGACTATTGATTTTTATTAGTATTTGTGATTATTTGGGGGTTTTATGTTTATTTGATTTGTGTGCCTGTTTGCCTGCACATACATGCACCATGTTTGTGTCCGGTTTCTTTGGAGCTCAGAAGACAGAGTCATCCCCTGGTATTAGAGTTGTGGATGGGTCTGCACCATCATGTGGGTGCTGGAAACTGAGTATCATAATTGGCTTATTGAGGCTGGAAAGACGGCTCAGTGGCTAAGAGCAGAGGACTGACCTGGGTTCAGTGGTGGCTCACAACTATTCATAACTCCAGTTCCTGAGGCTACATGCACACCAGGTAAAATGCATACTTCTTCACATATAAAATAAAATAAATCCATTTAGTTTCAAAATTAAAAAGATAGCAGGCTTCGTTGTGGCATTTGATGTATACATAATGTGTTTTGCTCATTTTAACCCCTTTTTAGCCCTTTGTCCCTTCCTACTATTGTGAACCTTTTGTTTTGAGACAGATTTTTATACAGTTCAGGATGACCTCAAACTCACTGTATAGACATTATCCATGAAGCCTGATTTCTCCTGCCTCTGCTCCCCAAATGCTGGGGTTATAGGCATACACCACTCACTGTATAGATAGGGAAACCAGATGCTGTGATTACAGGCATACACCACTCACTGTATAGATAAAGAAACCAGATTCTGGGGTTACAGGCATACACCATCACACCGGGTTCATTAAGGCTTTTTAAGTTGCTTTTCTACATTTGGTCATGAGTGAGACTATCCTATACAGTACAGCCTAAAAGAAGAACAAAAGGTCACATTAGCATTGTGACACAGACACTGTTGTGTGGAAGGAAGTAGCTGTGATCTGAAATGTTCAGCAGAGTAGCAGTCCAGTTGCTGCTCACATTTAAGCAGGCAGGTGTAGAGTTCAGTAGCTGATGCATGGCCAAGGTGTTCATGTAAATCCACCAATTCACACCTGTGCGAGAAAGACTTTAGGAAAGTTACCTACTTGTCCTCAGTATCTTGATTGTCTCTAAAACTGTCAGTAATGATGGGATTGAATGGCTAGAAGGCATTATCTGTGAAAACATCTAGAAATATATCCACCATGGCACACAGCTCAATAACAATATCTGATAATGCATGCAAATACCAGGTCCCAGCTAGCCATTGTCAAGTTACTCTTGAGCGTGGCCCTGGCTACCAGCTTTGTCAGTGATGGGGAGACTGACGTTTGATTACCTTCCTTGACCACTGCTCCCCAGACTTCATCCTCATGGCCCAAGATATCCACATGTACGCAGCCAGGGTCCAGTGGGGCCTGGTCATGTGCTTCCTGTCCTACTTCGGCACGCTGGCTGTGGAGTTCCGGCACTACCGCTATGAGATTGTGTGCTCCGAGTACCAGGAGAACTTCCTGAGCTTCTCAGAGAGCCTGTCAGAAGCGTCTGAATATCAAACCGACCAGGTGTAACCCATCAGGTTGTCCTTGGGGATGTGGTGGGTGTGGCAACGGGGGAGGGGCCAGGAGGATACACTCACGGGACTTGACACATCACCTCATAACACGTTTCACACACACGGACACATATTCGTGGCCACATATTCGTGGCCACATTTGCCAAAAGAGCTTTTCAGGGCGGGTTATTTCTTTTATGAACAACCACAACCCTCATGTGTGGAAATACACGCTGTCGCACTGAACACGTATGCACGACAGAGCCAGGAGCTTGTGCATGATCACCTCCCTGTCCCACCCTCCCAGTATGCTTGCCCTTCTCATCATCCTCACGTTTCGAACCTGGCATCTTCCTCCAGCGGGGCAAGGCAGGCTGAATGTAACATACAAACGATAACTCCCTAAGATGCCTTCGGGTCCGAAGGGCCTGGAGTGAACTCGAAGGGAGCTGTGACTCTGGTACCAATATTCTTGAGTGGACATCAGAGTAGCATCTGTTGGGATGCACATTGTACTGAAGCGGTGGCTGTAGCCTGTGAGAGGCATGGGTGTGGCGTTCCTGCCAAGCTGCCTCCACCACTGTTCAGCGGTTGGTTTCGTGGCTTCAGGGAGTGGGAGAGAGGCCCACCATCAGTGTTTGGACTTGACTCACTCTGCCTGAGAAAGATCTCCAAATGTGAATGATCACAGGGATGGTCTGCCATGTATGGCACAAGAGACAGCTGAGAGGGCACAGTATAGTTTTTGCTTCTATGCTGTGTTGTGCACAATTCTGGTTTTGTAGCTCACGGCTTGCCTTTTTCTTTTTTTAATGCAACTCTCATGGGTGTCTGTAGGCCTCACGGACAAAGATGTGGACCAAAGGCAAGAACCTAGTTTTGGATTCAATTATGACAGGGAGTGATACCTGCAGGCTTATTTTGTGTTTGAAGAAAAACAAAAAGATTCTCAAAGAACAGAGAAATCTACATGGGGGTGGGGTTGGGGTGACGAGGTAAGAGGGCACCTGTGGGCTTTGAGGAATGATGGACAGGAGGTTAGAACTCCTGCTGTAAATCCAAGTGGAGGAGGGGGAGACTTTCACATACATGTGTTCCCCAAGTCTTATAGTTGAGGGGCTAAGGACTTTTCAAATTTGGGATTTATGGAAGCTAATTAAAAGATTGCCCTCCCCAAAACCACATTGGCACAAACAGAGCCAATGAGTGTCACCTGCTACAAGTTCAGAAGTGAGATTGTAAATGAACAAGCTCCGGGCCATCCTAGATCCATCGTGTCAACAATGTGCCAAGTGCGCTACCACCACCACCCCGACCAAGGGCACTGTCTCAAACCCCCAAATTCATAGGGGCCTGCGGTACCGGGAAGCATAATGTGAAGAATGCTATTTTGTAAGTTTAGCCCAAAGTGTAGCTTCCCAAGGTGGGGTCCAAATGTTTCATCTAGATCTCCATCCCCAGCACAGTGCCTGGCACACAGTAGGTGCTCAGAAAGTGTCCACTGAATAGGTTGTTTATGAATGGCAGTAAGAAGTATTGAAGAGATTCAAAGATGAGTGAGGGAACCGAAGCTTCCTCAAATGAGGAAGGAGAGGAAGGGAATGGGGTAGGTCTCCCTCGACGGTGAGTATGAGGGGCCTCAGCAGAGTTCTCTTATTAAAAAGGAATCTACTGTAAATAGAACAGGGTGGCACCTTGGTTTTAAAACTGCTTTGGGCTTCTTTTTCTTTTTTTATATTTTAAAGATTTTTATCAAAGAACAAGCAGTTTTATTTTACTCTACACACTCCGATCAAACAGCATTTGGTGACCCCCACCTGTCTGCCGTCTGAAGAGTGTAACAGCCCATCTTAGCAGAATCAAGCAAAGACTGCCATTACTCATTGGGATCTGGCCACTAAATAAAGATGTTTTATGCAAAATTGGGACTTCTTTGTTTCTGACACTAACAGTTCTTCATGGGTGTGTGTATTCACAGCCATGTTGGCTATTAAAAGCATGCAGAACGATGTCTTCACGTTTGCTATTTTATTACAAAGGATACAACTCAGGATCAGGCAGATGGGAGAAGTTCATGGGAAGAGGAGGAGGGCCAGGGGCTCCTATGTCCTTAGGGCATTCCACTCTCCCAGCTCCCATAGTGCCCTCAGCCTGTGGAAGCTAGCTACAGCTCACAGCTCAGAAGATCTCTCCATCCCCCAACTGCCCCTCCCACACCCCAGAGGTCTAAGCACTTGGTACTTGAGGTAACCAGCCCTCATCCTGAAATTATCTCAATAGCATGAACTCTGGAATGACCAGAAGAGGTTCATTGTGAATAAAATATTGTTATATTCCAAGGATGTTAGAAATTCCATGCCAGAAATAGAGACAAAAGCCAAACATCTTGAGAAAAATGTTTTCATACAATAAAATTTTATCATATTCTTTCTCCTCCCCAACTCCTACCTCTTCTCCACCTCCATACTCATTCAATTTCTCCCTCTCTCAACAAAAAGATAAAATCAAAGCAAACGAGAAAGAAAAACCAGTAAGACAAAAAAAAAAAATGAAAACAAAAAGCTCACAAAAGAACATGAAGTTTTTGTGTCAACCGACTACTCCTGAGCATGGTTGATATACCCAGTGATGCTCCATTTCAGAAAACTGGATTCCTGTTTCCAAGCAGGTATCAATTACAAATAACGTCATGTCCATCTTCCCTTCTCGGTGCCGGGACTTTGCCTGGCTTAAACCCACGTGGGCCTTGTGTGCTCTCACCATCTCTTTGAGTTCAGGTCTGCATCGCCCTATTGTGCCTAGAAAATGGCTCTCACAATCTTTCTGCCTCCCCTTCTCATAGATCTCTGAGCCGAGGGGAGTGTGTTGGATAAAGACATCCTATTTAGTATAAGCACTCTAAATTCTCCGCACGTGGTCCAGTTGTGGGTCTCTGTTAATTACCATCTACTGCCTCTTGAAGGAGAAAAGGCCAGTAGCGTGTCATGGGACACACCTGTAATCCCAGCACCAAGGAGGCAGAGGCAGGAGGGCTGAGTTCCATTCTGGACTGAGCAGCATCGTAAGACCCTTATCTCAAACAAGGAGAAGAGAGGATCTAAGTGCTGGTATATCTTGACCCTTCCAAGTTGGCCAGCCCAGATCTCCATCTGACTGGCTGACTACTAGCTACTGGCTCCGGCACTGTGAAGCATCTCAATTTTAATCCCTCATCGTAGGTCATTAAGCCTGCCCTTCCCTCAACTGTCCCATGTAAGGTAAAGATGCCTGTTTACAGGGATCTCTCTTCTCTCCTGTATCTGTTCTCTCCACATATCTGTGGTGAAATCCTTTAAGTGTTACCTTCACAGTTGACTACTAGCCGAGTTAGGTGTGGTGCTGCATGCCTTATATCTCAACACTCAGGAGGCAAAAGATCTCTGTGAATTCAAGGTCAGTCTGGTTTAGTGAGTTCCAGGATGACCAGGCTATATAGTGAGATCATGTCAAAAAACAAAACCCCGAAAGAAAAGAAACTCAAGGCCAGCCTGGGCTCCATCTATCTCTATTATCACCACCTGGCCCAAGCTGTTAACTATCCCTCTTGAAGTTTCAAAACAACAAAATCCCTGGTCTTTTTGCCTCCATTAAGTGTTCCCTCCATCCTGCTCCTAATACAACAAAGTAATCTTTCTAAGAAGCAGAAGTTGATCATTTCAACCCTCTGCTGGAAGCACCACACTGCCTTCCTATGTACTCAGACTAAATCTCAAATCACTACAGTGTCCCCGACCCCAGACCTACTTCTAAATCTTTATTTCAGAGCCTCAAGAAGCCTCCTTATTTTTCTCCAAAAATAAGGCAGACCCTGGCCACAAGGCCTTGGCCAATCTTCCTCCAGATATGTAAATCTCATCATCTTCACAGAGGTGGGTGCAATCTCTCAGCCCTCAGAATCAACCTCCCTAAATCTACCTCAACACTATTTCCTCCATGTTTATTTTTTTAATGACTTATTTAAATTTATTTTATGTGCATTGGTGTGAAGATGTCAGGTTCCCTGGAATTGGAGTTACAATTGTGAGCTGCCACGTGGGTGCTGGGAGTTGAACTCAGAGCCTCTGGCAGAGCAACCAGTGCTCTTAACCACTGAACCATCTCTCCAGCCCCTCCTGCAGGTTTATTATGAATTAAGTAAAACATGCTTTTGGGCCTCTTGGAGAGCTAGCTCAGAGGGTAAAAGTACTTGCCGATAAACCTGGCAACCTGAGTTTGATTCCCCGAGCCCCATGTGGTAAGAGAACCAACCCACGGTGTTGCTTTCTGACCTCCACATGTATGCATGACACATGCTTGGCATTCTTCCATGGCTTGATCGAAAATGTTCAAACTTCAGGGCTCTCTGACTCTTCTCTGTCGATAAGTCTTTCCAAAACCAAAGCTACATGGCTTACCAGCACCTCCCATCCAGACAGCCTAGGCTGACTGCAGTCAGGTGGGGCTTCAGGCTCTGCTGTCTGCTACCCCTGTCTGCATCAGCTTCCCACTTTACACACCCAGTAGCTGTTTGCAGCATCTATCCAGTTACTCAAGCTAAATTGCCCTTTCAAGTCCTGCCAATCACTTGTAGTTATTGACTCTTCTAAAACATCCTAATATGTCCACATCTATTTCAGCGTTAGCACCCAATGCCAGCCACTGCTAGCCCTTCATCACAACAGTCTCTGATATTGAATCCAGATAGAGGCGCTGGAAAATTAAAAACATTCCCCGGACATACCTGCATGTGTTTCTGGAGTGGAATTACTACTCAATGAAATATGGCAGTGTAATCTTACAAAGAGAGGCAATCTTTGTATTGCTCTTAATAGGGCAAGCAAGGTCACGTCACTACAAGTGTTGCCTGGCCGGCTTCATGACTGAGCAAGCTGTGACAACCATGGCAAGCTTCCAGAACTCATCCCAGTGGGGCTTCCTGAGGCAGTTCCCCTACTCCCCCCTCCTCTAAGCTGCCCATTGGTTTGTGTAAAACCCTTACTCCTTGTTTCAAATCCCTTTGTGATCACAGTATCTCAGCAGGGGCTGGAGAGATGGAGCAGTAGCAAAGACCACTTGCTGCTCTTGGAGAGTACCTGAGTGTAGCTCCCAGCAGCCACATCAGAGGGTTCCCAACTTCAGTTTCAGGGGCTCTGATGCTCTCTTCCGGCCCCTACCCACAAACACATGGTGGTGAGCATGAGCTGCAGGGGTTTCTGTTTTGTTTTGAGACAGGGCCCATGTAGCCTGTGCTACTAGCCTGGAACTCCCTGTACAAACCAGGCTGGCCTCCACCGTCAGGGACTACAGATGTAAACGATCAGAGCGGGCTCTGCAAATGACTGTTGAATGCTACTTAAGATAGTATAGCTTAAGATAACTTAAGATAGACATCAAGGCCCAAGTGGTAATATAGCAAATGTTATGGGACATATTTAATATTTTTTCCTCTGATAAGAGTGAAAAATATATGAAAGCAAGAATTGTGCCTACTCAAAAATCGAGTTGTGTTAGAAACAAGAGGGAGAAGAGAAATTACTGGGTGGGCTGCAGTTGGCATCATTGCCATTAGTCTGCCCAACTACTCTGCCCTTGCAAACCATGCTACTGGCTTTTGAAGAGAAATAAACTGTTCATTCATCTTCCCTCTGCCCCTGCCTGCTCCATGTGATGGAAGCCATTCATTTGACAAGGTCTGTGGGGAAACAGTGCCACCTGCTGGGGAAAGTCTGCTCTGCACCCAAGTTAGCATTAAGACCCTGGCTCTCATGCAACTTTATAATATAAACTTCAGGTTTAGCAACCAAGGCAGACATAAATAGCAAACCTCTCTAGAAGTACTCTAGAATTACTGGTTAGAGAATCGGCTTTTGAGATTTCTCCCCCTAAAACACAGAACTACCAAAGTCTATCTGGCTCGAGATGGGAATAAAAACTGACCTGCTGTTTCCAAAGTTGCTTGTCCCAGGGAAAATATAATTATTCTGCCTGCATGTATGTCTGTGGATCACATGCATGTACAGGGAGAGAGATCAGACCCCCTGAAAGTAGAGTTAGATGGTTGTGAGTCTGGGAATAAACACTTTGCTGGAACAGCCACTGCTCTTAACCATTGAGCCATCTCTGGCAACTTAAAGATGTATGTCGGCTTGTTTCATTATTTGTTTTGAGACTATCAGGTCTTGAGTGTCCTGGAACCCCTTGATATGCAGACTAGACTGGCCTGGAACCCAAAGACCCTCCTACCTCTGCTAGGATTAAAGGTTCTCTTCAAGTGCTGGGAATTATGGGATTACAGGGAAGCATCACCACACCAGGCCCTTTCTCAATTCCTTACTTTGCTAATTACTGTTTGGAGTGGGGTGGTTTGAAAGAAAATGGCCCCTAACAGGAGTGGCATATTAGGAGGTGTGGCCTTATTGGAGAGGGTGTGACCTTGTTGGAGGAAGTGCGTCACTAAGGAGCCGGGCATTGATATCTCATATGCTCAAGCCATGCCCAGTAAGACAGATCACTTCCTGTTGCCGGTGAGTCAAGATGTAGAACTCTGGGCTCCTTCTCCAGCACCATGTCTGCCTGTGTGCCACCATGTCCAACACTATGATGACAATGGACTAAACCTCTGACACTGTAAGCCACCCAATTAAATGTTTCGCTTTATAAGAGTTGCTGTGGTCACGGTGACTCTTCACAGCAATAGAACACTAAGACAGAAGTGGTACCAGGGACTGGGGTGTTGCTGTGATAGGCCTATGTTTTTGTTGGAGGGAGTATGGGCCTTGGGACTGTGGATTAGAACACTTTTAAGCGCTGCTTAATGGGCCACACTAACAGAAGCATGGGAGACAGTGGTGCTGAGTGTGGTTTGAACCGTGAGGGGCAGGCTCAAGAGGTTTCAGAGACGAGTATTAGTATGTGGCCTATAGGTCATTCTTGTGATATTTTGGTGAAGTGGGTGCCTTTTGCCCTTGTCTGGGGCTAAAGTGAAGAGTTTTGGATTAATTCTATTGGCAGAAGAAATCTAAAAACAGCCCAGTATAGACTCTGTGGTTATTAGTGGTGACTCTAATGAAGATTTATAATGAGAAGGAGCAAGCTGAGCAAGGAAAGATACAAAATGTACGAATGTGAGAAGGAGCACCAGGAAGGGGAATGCAGGGAAGCCCTGTGTTCAAGGAGACAACAGGGATGGAAATGGAATGAAGGCAGTGGCAACCTCAGGAAAGCTTCCAACTGGGGAAAAGTAATTAAAGAAAAGCTTAGAGCTGGACATGGTGGCACACGCCTTCAATCCCAGTGGATCTGAGTTTGAGGCCAGCCTGGTCTACAGAGCAAGTTCCAGAACAGCCAAGCTTAAGACAGTGAAGGAAACAACTAAAAACAGAAAGCTAGTGGAGATGTAACTGAATGCGTGGGCCATGTTCCAGGCCCAGAAGCAGCAGAACTTGGCAGCTTTGGCCACATAAGATGGTTCTGGTTTTAGAGTTAAGGATCGAAGAAGGTGTTATGGAACCTTCCTCTGCAACTAAGGAAAGCTGCTGAGGCCAGGCATGTGTCATGGGTTGTCCTTGCATGGAGGCCTAGAGAGGACATTGTGTGAAGCTGTGAAGGTGAAGCCTGGATTGCCTTGGAGAACCCAAGATGCTGGAGATGCCAGAGTCATGGGTTACCTGCAGAGGAGAGCTGCTAACAGGGAGAAAACCAGCCCAAGACAAAGAAGTGTGTTGTCGTCAACAACGCTGAGAGGCACTGGAGATCTGAAGAGAGTTCCACACCAGACATGGAGATGCAGTTTGCAGTTTGCCCAGCTGGTTTTCCGTCTTGCTTTGGTGCAGTATTTCCTCACTACACTCCCTTCCTTCCCTGCACTGTGGAACAGTAATGTATAACTTGTGCCATTATATGTTGGAAGATTATGATCTGCTTTTGGATTTTGATTTTATACGGGATTGCAGTTAAGAGATTGCATGAATCTCAGAAGAGACTTCAAACTTTAGACTTTTAAACAAGCTTGAGTCCGTTATAGATTATGGGAACATTTGAAGTTGGACTGAATGCATTTTAGCTTATGATATGGCTTCGAGCCTTTGGGGGCCAGGGAGTGGACTGTGGTGATTTGAAAGAAAATGGCCCCAAAGGAAATGGCACTATTAGGAGCTGTGGCCTTGTTTGAGGAAGTGTGTTGCTGTGAAGGGGGGCTTTGAGTCTCACATATGCTCAAGCCATGCCCAGTGAGGTAGTCTATTTCCCATTACCTGCACAAGAGGAAGATTTCTCAGCTACCTCTCTAGCACCATGCCTACCTACATGATGCCATATGCCACCATGGACTGAATCTCTGAACTGTAAGTTCCCCCAATCAAATATTATAACAGTTGCCGTGGTCAAGGTGTCTCTTCACAGTAAGCCATCTGCCCATGAACTTGTCTACACGTATATAATTAATCATCATTTATAAATTATTCCCATGTCTATTAATTTGATTGTATTTTCTAGTATGACATAAAATCTGAATCAACATTTTTTTTTCTGTCCCCTTCCCCCCTCTTACTTAAGACCTTTCCCTTTATTCAATGTATCTCCAAAATTATTCTTCCAGGATTTTCTTGATTAATTAGAAAAAATAATTGTTTCCTTCAAACATTTTCTCATATAGCCTTAAAAAAAAAAATGATAGTCCCGGGTGATGGCACAGGACTTTAATCCCAGCATTATTTGGGGAGCAGAGGCAGTAGGGAAAGGCTCCTGCCACCAAGACTCATGACCTAAATTCAATACACATGCTTTCAGATGGCAGAAGGAAAAAACCAACTATCACACTGTCCTGCCTCACACGCGCGCGCAAACACACACACTCACACTCATATTCACACCATACACAAAACTAAAATGTGGAGAAAAAAACCATGGCTACCAAAGTTCCAAGAAACTTCACTCATGCGTGAATGCTACTGTCAGAATTAAATAGTAACAACAATTGAATACAAGTTGAAGCTAGGTAACGATTTTCATTTATAGTCTGTTAAAAGAGACTGCATATCATACTCAGGGCAAAAACTAAAGAAAATCCCATTGTTCAGTGACTCCGGGGTTACTTCCCCTTTTGCTTTGGGCAGCACGAGGTACAATCCGCAATCTATATGAAACTAAAAGGGGAAAATGCCTTTATTAATTAATTACACGAGACTGACATAAACTGTCAGAATGGCACCGGAATAAACAGTACTGTTACAAAATTTACATCTTCACATCCACTTTAGAGGAAACATTACACATTAGAGCTCTTTGTGGTGTTACACTGGTTTCAATAAAGCATTTTTAAAAAATAGTCATTAACATATATTCTCAAGCTACTATGTAAGACACAGAAGGCAACTATAAAACAGTGCTAACACTGACCGGTTAGTGGAGCCACCGCCACCTTAGCTGGTCCACGGACACTGCTGGGGGGGGGGGGGGGCGTGTGCTGCCTTGCGCCCCAATACCCGACTGATCAAAGCCAGTTTCTCTGAACAGGAACCGGTGCCTGACTCCTGTTCACAAAGAAGTGAGGCTGAGCGCAGCAGTGTGATGCGAGCTCACAAGGAGGCAGGGTTGGTGGGTTCCTCTTCCAGATGCCTCTGAAGTACTGCCAGTTTTAAAATAACAAGGTCTCTGGGTGATAATGTCTCAAAGCTAGCTTTCCATTTCAGTAAACAATTTGATAAACATCGTACATTTGATTTGCATTTTTGCAGTTTCTTCTATCACATATACTCTGGCCTCATTGAGACTTAAAAAGAGTTATGTTCTACATACAAAGCCTCTTTACATGAACTTGATTCTCACGGAACTGACAACTTTGCTCACATATGTGCCCATAGAAATTAATCTGAGCACACATACATGTATTTACACTTGCATATGTCTGTGTGTACATATAAGTAAGTAACTTTTACAATTAGAATAAAGCTAGACATGACGGGGAGCAGTTTCGTCTTCCTCAGAACCTGCTCTATGTTGATGGCAGGTTCAGCTCGTGGAAGGATGTGATGAGGTTGTAGTATGTTTTCTCATCGTCTGTCAATCCCGCATTGCCAGGTCTCACCACCACAGCGACATGCACATCTGCTTCCTCGGCAGCACTGGCCTCTGTGGAAATCAAAGTGTGGGTGAGGCCAAAACCAAAGCCTGAGATGGAGAACAAAGGTGTCCTATGATCTAATCTGGCCAAAGTACATGCTCCCACCTCAGGTTCCAACATGTCATGCCCCCTGCCTAGATGCCACACCTTTTTTGCCTGAAAAATTCTTACTCTTCAAAATTCCACTCAAAACATGACACCATCCAGAAGCACCATCCCTGTATTACAGCAGCCCGTGTGCGCCTTACACCCTATAGTTGGCTGTCAACAGCAATGTGCTTTATTACTGTTTATCCCTCCTTAGACTATGGGTACCTTATGATCAGTGACTGGGATGTGTTAGGGAGCAAAGAGTAAAAACAAGACCTGTCATATTACCTTAGGTAAGCTGGGTATTACGGGGACACCTCTAATATACTTTGGCTCACATTCATCTCTCCACTTTATTTTTATTTGAGAAACAAATGCTATCATCTTTAAAAGCATCTGCTATGTGCTAGGAGCCAGACTTGGCCAAGAGATATGTGAACAAATAGGGCTCCTGCCTTTATATAATTCCCATTCTCATCTTTCCCAACAACTCAAGGTAACTTAACCATTATCCCCATCCCAGTCTAAAGATATAGAAACAGAGCTAAGCAAGGAGTAGGCCTGAAACTTTCAGCTGTCAGCCTGACTCAATGCCCAATACTCTAAAAGTGGTTCTCACCTGTCATCACAACCTCTTTGATGAACCTCTACCTCCAAAAATAGCTACAATATGATTCATCACAATAGCAAAATTGCAGTTATGAAATAGCAATAAAATAATTTTGTGGTTGGGGTGGCAGCCACCACAGCATGAGGAACTGTATCAAGGAGTCACAGCATTCGAAGGTTGAGAACCACTGCTCTGAAACAGAGGCCACTTAAAAGCTGTATTGGCACACATTATTTGCTTACTGCTTGTGACTGCTTTTGCACTACAAGAAGACTAAATAGCTGTGACAGAGACTCTATGGGCTGAAAATTATGGATTTACTATCTGGTGCCAAGTGTTGATCCAGGCGCCAAATACTCCAAATGTACTCTGCAGACACTGCATGATACAATTCCAAGAAATCTTTGTTTTCCTCTTTCATACTTTAGCATCGTTTGGAACATCACCTTAGTTTTCTGCCCTACCTTGTATATGAAGAGATGGATACATCGTACAAAAACCAACCCACAGGACCAGGGATTACAGAAGAGTAAAGCAAGAACCTCCATCCCAGCTACAGTTCATCCAAGTGCCAGCCCTCCTGTCTAATGAGATGGGAGCCCGGGGGAGTGGTTTTATTAGAGACATAGATGAGGCCAATCTAGGATGGTATTCCTAGTCTTTAGCATTGGCACTACAGCCAGGTGTAACACACACCTTTAATCCCAGCATTTGGAAGGCAAAGGCAGGTGGATCTGAGTTTGAGGCCAGCCTGCTCTAAATAGTCAATGCCAGGATGGCCAGGGCTACATAGAGAAATCCTGTCTCAAAACAAAAACAAACAAAAACATCTGGGAATATATACTCTGGTTTCTTCAGATATATATATAAAAAGATATATATATATCTTTTTACTCAAGTTAGAAATTAATTTCTAGAACTTCAACCCTAGGAAATGGCTTAAATCAAACAAAGATTTGACTGCAAGGCAATTTTTTAAAAAGAGCCTAAAGACAAAAATATAAAGAAAGCCTAAGTAGTCTTAGAGGAGGTGTGGGCCAGTGGTACAGCCCAGCTAGTAAGAGCACTTGCTACCAAACCTGTTGATATGAGCTCAACTACCCAAATCTACATGGGAGGGAAAAACTGACACCATTCACCACCAGCCACACACACTGCCTTCTAACCTCAGTGTGTGCCTGGCACATGTCCCCACTCGCATGTAATAAATGTACAAATGAACAAGAGTTAGACTACTGTATGTGCACACATATGTGTGGATGCATGTGCCTGTGCATGCATACCCACGGAGACCTTTCCTTCTTATTAATATATATTAATCACACACGGTAGCAGGTACCCCTGTGACATGCACATACTCATTTTCATCTTATTACCCATTATCCTCTCTTGTCCCCCATCCCCTTCCTCTTCCCAGCTAGCCACTTTTCTGTTGTCATGTCTTTTTTTGGGGGGGAGACAGGGGTCTTCTATTCTTTTATATGTATATGTGTGTTTGTGTGCACATGCCTGTGCAGAGGGGATATGGGGTGTGTGTGTGTGTGTGTGTGTGTGTGTATGTGTGTGTGTGTGTTACATGCCTTACTGTCTTGAAACAGTCTCACTGAACTAGAACTCATTTGGGTTAGGATGACAAGCTCCCATAAGACACCTCTCTTCACTAAGGCTGATTTCAGGTATACGTGGCCATACTTGATTATATAGGTCCTGCGGATCTGAACTCAGGTTCTGCTGATTGTACAGCAAGCGCTCTTACCCACTGAGGCAGCCCTGAACCCTTCCATGGCATTCCCTTGGAAGGATGGCACAGACATCAATTGTGTCAGGTTAAGATACTACATAGAAGAGCATTGCTCTAGTGGGATTCTGAGCTGTCCCCCACAGCTCAGGCACTTCATCACTTGAACTCCATCAGGTGTTGCTAAAGTTAGGGAGGTTGCAGAACCTTCTGGAAACAGGGCCTATCTGGAAGGTGTAGGCCAGGAAAGGGTACAATCCAGGCCTACTTTGGTCTCCTGAGCTTCCTGATCTGTGACTGTGGGAGAGGTGACACAGTGACCATGATGGCTGCAGCCTCTGAACTATGAGCAAAACCAAACCTCTGCTCCCGTCACGTCACGCTGCTTCCCATGGGTGCCATGTCACAAGGACAACAAAACATGAAACAAAGAAGCCAACCAGTTACTTACCTAAAGTAACATCTGTGAGAAACAAGATATTGCTGGTTAAGCACCCAATGCTATCTGCAATCTTCCGGTAACTCTCGCTCTCCACTTTGTGTCCAATCTTGGTGTCAAAGTGGCCATCAATAAGCTGAGCAAGGGAATAGGAAGGACTATTCAGTACAATATGCGTGCGACATACCACGCCCGTTCACTGCAGCCCTTCCTCTGAAGTGCAGGCCAGTCACAGGGACTCCATTCCATAATGTTTGCTGAAAACGTAGCTAATGGAGTACTTTATGGAAGCTACCAAGAAGGCCAAAGACTTTATGATAATAAATACTTGGAAGAGATCTACTAGTTCAACCTACGTCTCATTTGGTTGTCATTAGCATTGTTTTATGCCCCTAATCACTTCTAATATGCATGTCTTACACACTGTTTGCATTCAAACTACTTCTGGGTTTTGTTCCAGATGAAAAAGAAGATTCTGTCTGGGCTATAGTGGCACAGGCCTTGTATCCCAGCACGTAGGAAGGGGAGGCAGGCTCTGTGAGTCCAAGGCCAGCCTGGTCTACAGAGCAAGTTCCAAGACAGTCAGGGCAGTTACTAAGAGAAATCCCGTCTCAAAAACAAACAACAACAACAAAATGGTTGCGAACATTATCCTTTTGGTCCTGGAATGAAAAGGTATCTAGCTGAATGTGTCAATACATGTGTGTCATCACAGCATTTCCAGGCAAGCAGGAGGTTCACCACCAAGGTCAGCCAGATTCACACAGCACAATTCAGACCAGTCAGGGATACACACCCAGACCCAGCCTCAAAAAACAAAGCGTGAAAAGGTATCTCTAAGCAGAAACTTTATTGATAGGATATTACTCTAACAAGATCAACTGGAGCCAAGGCTGGCCTTGAACCTGAAATCCTGGCCCTTGTGCCTCCAGCTCCCAAGTGCCAGGATTACAAGTAGGCACAACGACACCCAGTTTCATTTCTAATTAACACTTCCTTGAACACTACCCTTGAGGTCTTGGACATTAACTGGAATCAAATGCTGGCTAATTTAACCACTAGTAATTAAAGTAAGTTCATATTAAATAGACTCAGCTTTGACTGTCTGGATGCCTTTTGGCAACTAAAAACAAAGACCAAAGACAATATTAAGGTTTGCGGTTTGGGACTTGTGAAGCCAGGTCTCTCTTGTAGTTTCTGCTAACTATGCGGTCCAGGCTAGCTTGTAGGTAGCCCCGTCTCCACCTCCTTTCCCACTGTAAAAGGGCTGGTATGACAAAAGCTGCTGCCAGGTCTGGCTTTTTTGTAATGGGTTCCAGGAACTGAACTCAGGTCACCAGGCTTGCCTCGCAAGCACCTCTCTCTACCTGCTGAGCTGCGTCACAGGCCCCAGGGTCGGTTAGTTTGTTTTTTAACTATTAAAAAGGTTGAGATGGATTTTGCATACTACCTTTCTCTATTTGCCTCAATGGTAGCTGGAAAATGACTTTTACTACTGAAACAGGTAGGTAAATATCATACCGCACACATGTCGACCTTACTACCTATCTCACTGGACAGAAAGCTTGTCTGTGTTGAGAAAATAGCCATCATTGATCTCATTACTGGTTTGGTATCTGCTATAAAAGACAAAAAGAATTAGAATATGGCACTATCCAAAACCAAAATATGCTCTGCACGTCCAATATGGGCCCAAAAAACACTACTTTTATAGATGGGGGTCTAGCTAAGCACTTTCCTAGAATTTCATGAAGGCCTGGGTTCCAACCCCAGCAATTGCTCTCCAGAAAGTTAAGTCAGTTGGCCGAACTAATTCTGTTTAGTCAGCCCTTCTGGTGGGGAGAGGAGTTTCTTCTGAGTTGCTGATGATCTTAGTTTGGGTTTCTATTGCTGTGATGAGACACCATGACCATGGCAACTCTTACAAAAGAAAACAGTCCACTGAGGTGGGCAGCTTACAGTTTCAGTCCATTATCATCATGATGGCATGCAGGCAGATGTGGTGCTGGAGAAGGACCTGCTACACGTTGATATGCAGACAACAAGAAGTAGACCCTGACACTAGGAGGCAGTTTGAGCATATATGAAACTTCAAAGCCCACCTCCACAGTGACACACCTCCTCCAACAAGACCACAACTACTCCAACAAGGCCACACCTCCAAAGAGGGCCACTCCCTTTTGGGGCAATTTTCCTTCAAACCACTACACTGACTTTTTTGTATTAGGGAAATAGCACATTTACTTTCTAGTGTGTGGGGCAGTGTACATGTAATATTTGTATCTTTTTATACATAGAGTAAATATTTATAGTATCTGGCTTTAGTACTAGCCTCACCAAAAATTACTTAGGGTGGATATTTCAATGTACTCTTGACTTCCACTGATAACTTAAACTTCCTGCTCTTCATTTTTTGATGTGTGAGATAGTATTTCACTATATAGTCCTTGTGTGCCTCAAACTCACTGTATAGCCAGGCTAGACTTGAAAGGGGGACACTATTACCTTAACCTCTGGGTACTGGAAATATAGGTGTGTTTCACGACACATGGCTTGAAATCTAGGTTTTCTAAGTTTGTGTGTGCAGGTGTGTGTGAGGTGACAGCTAGAGCGCTCCTCCTCCATCACTCTCTACTTATTTTTTTTTTAATATTACTAATTACCTAGTTTGCTGTGCTTGTGCATATGCATGCTACAGAGGACAGAAGCTGTTTTTCTTTTCCCATGTGGGTACCAGGGTTCAAATTCTGCTCAGTAAGCTTGGAGGTGAGTGCCTCTCCTCCTGAGTGCCCCTTCTCATGGGCCCAACTTGCCAACCCTTCCTTTATTTTTTGATACTAGAGCTCACCAATTTGACCAGCAAGCCCAAATGACCCTCCTGTTTTTGTACCCCCAGTGCTGAAATGAGAAGCATGTGCCGTGAAGCCTGGCTTCTCCATGGGTGCTGGGACTCAAAACCAGGTCCTCAGGCTTGTAGGGCAAACACTTTACCAACTCTAGGTCTCAGCCCCAGAATCTACTTTTTAAACAAATTTCTGGTGATCCTTATAGACAAGAAAAACTTGAGACTTCCAATTCAAAAGCTGGTATAACACAAGATGTCCCACCTGCTGGAAGCCAGGCAGAGCCAGGTTCTCTGAGAGGCCCTGATCAAAGAACAAAAGGAACCCAGTTCTATCTCTGACCAGGGGAAGACTTGACAAAGTCCAATCTGAGGCTCAGAAGAAGGCCTCGAAGGAGTTATGGTTTCTGTTCCTGGGCACTTGGCTGTCCCCTGGAGACTGGAGTTATCAGTCCCAAGGCCACTGTGCTCTGTCCCTGGCACATCTCCCCTTGTGAAATGGCCTTGATTAACTTGCCTCTGACTTTGTTCCACTGTCCCCTTGCAAGCTGTATGTAAGATGCAGTTCCTTGTGTGAGCTGTTAGCTTGTGCAGGACACTTCCTGACCCTGGCTTCTCCATCTTCTCATCCCCTGGTCATCTTTCTCTCTCAGGAACCTATCACTGAAGAATGACATGCTGGCCCAGGACATCAACGCCTCTATACAAGCTACCCTCAGTTTTTCCTCATCTTTTTACAATAGTAGGTACAACTGTCTAGCTGCCAATTTAGCTTATTTAGATGGGTTCCACTATTCAACATCTCATGCTTTAGTAGCATCAAAACAAAGTAATCCAAATGTGCTGGTTAGTTTCTGTCAACTTGACACAAACTGTAGTTATCTTTGAAGAAAACAACCTCAATTAAGGTACTGTCTCCATCAGACTAGCCTCTGGGCATATCTGTGGGACACTTTCTTAATGTGGGTGGTGCCACGCTTAGGCAGGTGGCCCTCGGATGCATGAAAAAGCCAGCTGAGCTAGCCAATAAAGGAATCCCTTTGTGGTCTCTGCATCACTGCCTGCCTCTAGCTTCCAGCTTGAGCTCTGGCCCTAACTTCCCAAAATGACTTCATGTGGGAGTATAAGCCAAATAAATCCCCCCCAGGTTACTTTTGGTCTTGGTATTTACTACAGCCATAGCACCACATAGCCTACCTCAAGAATATCTCCTTCTGTGGAGTGCCCAAAGAGCAGTTTCTGAGCCTCTACGCTCCCTGAAGAGTAGATGTACACCTTCATTCCAGCCTCTCTCCACCTTCTGACTGCTGGAACCACGTCCTCGAAGAACCTGGAGGGAAACCCAGCAGTTACAATGCAGAAACACAGCATGAAGCCAGATGAAAATCAGACAGTACATATTTATAGTAACTGAGAAGCAACTCCATGAGACAGGAAATTCCTGTGGTTCTGATAACAGGTCACTGAAGTTCCTGGATCACAGATCAGAACCAACAAGTTTGGTAGCTGACTTTAATAAAAAAGCATGAGGAGATAAAATGAGAAAGTAACTAACGGGTAGAGAGACAGCTCAGAGTGAAGAGCACTGGCTGCTCTTGCAAAGGACTCTGGTTCCGTTCCCAGGACCCACATGGAAGTTCACAACTGCCTGAAACTCCAGTCCTAGGGAATCCAATGCTCTCCCTTGAGCTCCATAGGCATGAGGCATGTATGAGGTGTACTTGCATACATGCAGACAAAAAACTTACACAAATAAAACAAATCTGAGAAAGTGACTATTTTAATTCTCAAGGAGCTAAAATAAACATAATATAAGCAATGTTGTATTATCATTTAATTGATGCAATTTATAAGAAAAAACTAATTTACCTTCAATGTGCTTTGAGAAACCAAGAAAATGCTTTCTTCCCATTTTTAAAAGATTTATTTTAGTATGTTTCTTGCATATATGTAAGAGTGCTTCTTACATATATGCAGGAATATTTCCTTGTATCAGACACAAACATCTCATCTAACAAAACACAAGAAATACAAAAGGCACACAGGCAGCTGAAAATGGCCTTGAACCTGAGGACTAACATAAGACGATTGACTAAAATCTTTTAAAAACTAAAAAGAACCTCTAAGGTCAATTGGGTGTGGAAGCCCACATCTATAAATCCCAGCACTAAGAAGGCTGGTGCAGGCAAATCCCAGGCTTGGCAAATCCCAGCTTGAAGCCATGCTGGGATACACTGCAAGCCCAGGCCAGCTAGGATATACACATGATGAGACCCCATCTTTAATCGTTTACACATGTGTGTGTATGCATGTGTCTGTTCCTGCATGTGCAGACACATACCTGCACATGCAAGCACATGCCATGGCACAGGTACCAAGGTCAGAGGTCAACCTGCAGAAGTTGTTTATCTCCTTCCACAATGTGGATCCTAGGGATTGAATTCAGGTTGTCAGCCTTGGCAGCACTCACCCCTGCTCACTAAGCCTTCTCACAGGCCCAAACCGGATGCTTTGTTTTTCAATCTTAGTAATACAATACTCAGCAGGAGATCTGGCAGAAATCCTGTGACTAAGACTCCAAGATTACCAAGGCGTACTACTCTGATTTTATGTGTCTGAGTGTTTTGCATGCATAGTGCATGTATGTACCTGGTACCCGTGGAAGTCAGAAGTGGACACTGGGTCCCCCGGACTGACAACTGCTGGGCTCTTATCAGCAAGCTCAACAGCTGAGAGAAGCAGACCCAGAGTGCTGTCACTGTGCGAGTGTCCCTGGTGTGCCAACAGGTTAAATATGACCTAGCTCACAGAAGGCTCAGGAAGTCTAGCCCCAAGTGCTGGTATCACAGACCCTGCCACTGCCACACCAGGCTGAAGCTGCCATGCTCTAGGGAGCAGTTTTAAGACAGAACTGAAAGTCTTTTACCCACCCATAAAGCCCCAGATAAGCTGGAAAAAAAAGAAAACAACACATTTGCTACAATAAAAGCATACCAATTTTATCTCTCTCTCTCTCTTTTTTTTTTTTTTTTTTTTTTTTTGGAGATAGGGTCTCTCAATGTAACCTTGGTTTGCCTAGAACTCAAGAGATTTGCCTGCTTCTGCCTCCTAAGTGATAGGACTAAAGGTGTGTACTATCTTGGCTAGCAACTTTATTTTCACTACAAGCTAAAGTATCTACTTTTACTTTTATCTATTTACTGCAGGACTGGTGAGGGTGTGTGTGTGGATGTCGGGCCTGTGAAATGTTTTATTGTTACAGCACGTACTCTGCCTTCACAAGGCCAGCTGTGAAAGCCGCCTTCCACATGTGGCCCTGCAGCTGTTTGAGCGCTGTGGTCTTCCGGTCATGAGACATCTGCCAGTACACATTATCCACCACGGCCTGGATCATCTGCTGCAGGTCATCCTCGTTATTTCCAGATGCCACAGGGATTGGAACAGCCCCGTCCAGGTGTGCATCTTCTTCAGCCTTTAAGTCAAAAACAAATCAAGTTTATTCATTTAAAGAAATATACACATGTGCTTGCACACACACATACAGCCCATGCATGCATGTATTTTAAAAAGATACAGCAAAACCAGGCAAATCAGTTTTCTCCAATTATCAATTATCCTGAGAACTACTAAAAATTATTCTTAAAGGAATGATCTGGCAAAAAGGGATCACCAGGCAAAAGCATTTGCCACTAAGCCTGGTGGCCTGGGTTCTATCTTGGGGACCCACATGACAAAAGGAGAGAAATGACTCAAGTTATGATATGACCTCTACAAGAGCACCATAGCATGTGTGCGCACGCACAAGCGCATGCACACACACACGCACATGCACACATATATACATAATTAAAACAAATTCAAACACAAGGACTTTGTAACAATGCAATGCATTAAAGAATATAAAATATGTATGTATGGAGCCTCCTTTTTTGAGACAATAAAGATTAGGAGGAGTATTATAACCACAAGCTATCCAGGAGACTCAGCAAATCCAAATACTGCATGATTCACTGTTATTTCTAATCTTAACTTCTCACCATAAATAAAAGACATGTGGACAGTGTAGGACATCTGCTGGTAAGGGTTGCATAAGATAAAGCTCTATGCCACTGAAGTCGGCACACCATGCAGAAGAAGAAAGTTCACAGACTGGCTAGACAGCAATCTGTGGACTGACCCAACAGTAAACTGGTTGAGAAGTCTGGTAGGGTGGCAAGAAGCAAGGACCTGTGAGCACAGTATCGGGAGCAGTTTCATGCCATGAGGTAGGCCAGTAAGAAATGACAAGTCGCTGTCACTGTGTGACATATATGAAATGTGATGACACTGCACAAGACCTTTTGTATTCCACCAGAAAAGGCTAATTTTACAAATGCACTAGGCTTTCAGGCTATTTAAATGGTCCCAGGGAGAAGTGATTCTGCAGACAATGAATTGCTATGACTTGCTTGTTTTATTACAGGCTGTGGATCACTAGGCAGCCGGCAGGTCACTGCAGCTTCTAGCTCAGGGTCCAGGGCACTGATTTCCAGTGCACTCACAGCATGTTCCAGGCATCCTCCCCTCTGAGACTGTGCGAATGAAGGAGGGAACTGCTGACCTGTTTCCTCAGCAGGCTGACATCCTGCTGACACTCGTCATCATCCCAGTGCGTCTGCAGGTAATCCTTAACATTCTCCCTGATGTATGGGAACAAAGTATCCTGGGGGGGGAGGGGGGAAGAGTGGAGACAAGAAGAGAAAAAGAATGTTATTTTTAAAATGGCGCCACATGATCTGTGTTTTATAATCTCACCTGAACTAAAATTCAACAATGGAAGTCTCCGTGGAAATTGCTGCTGTGGGTCTCCCAATGGGACAGGAAAGACTAAAAAACAGGTCCTGGTTGTATTTGTAAGCTTTATTGGGATTCAGCCACAATCATTTACTTACAGTCTCTGGCTATTTGGGGGCCACAATGGCCAAGCTGAGACTATTTAGCCCATAAAGCCTAAACAAGCTCCCCAGCCATTTATACAAGTCTGCTAACTCTCAGACTACATTGTTAGACCATAGTCTTTTCGTTTGCTTACTTTGCTTTCGTTTCATTTTATTATTTATTTTTATTTCATGTGTATGGGTGACTTTTGTATGTATGCCCACAGAAGATGTCAGATCCTCTGGAACTGGAGTCAGATGTTATGAGCCACCATGTGGATCCTGGGAACTAAACGTAGGTCCTTAGCAAGAGCAGCAAATGCTCTTAAACACTAACCCTCTCTATCCTGTGGCCAGACTCTTGAGGCATGGATTGACGATGCCTTACTCAAAGTACACCTTGGTATATAACTGGTATATGCATGACAGTGGTGGCCACATGACAATGTAGAAAGGAAATAAGTGGCTTTCTTGGTGCAGACTCCTACAGAGCACTCTATAGCATGTACACAGCTAGGCATGATGTCTCACACCTGTGTAAGCAAGCACTTGGGAGACTGAGACAGGACGTATGCCAGTCTGGGCTACAATGTGAGATCCTCAAAGAGAGACAGTGAGAAAGAAGACAACATTATATGCAACACCCAAATAAATGGTTTATTTTTTAAAGTACTGTTTGGTGCCCAGGACTGAACCCAGGGTCCTGTGCCTGCTAAGCAGGAGCTCTACTGACACACTAAACTCGTCTCTTCTCTAGTTAACATGGCTACATATACATACATCTTTTCAATTCTATTACAGCACATCTAAGAGCTTCTTTTAAACATCTACTGTTCTTAAGGTTTGGTAACTGGTGCATGGGGGTTGGGGGAGTGGAGAAGTGGGTTATAGGAAGGCGCAGCCACTACTGCCAGTGGGCTCAAGGAGCTGCAGTCCAAAAACACGATTTCCTGCAGTGCAGAGGGGGAGCAAGCAAAGAGCAGTGGGTGCCCTGCAGGCTCAGGGGAAGAGCAGCCTCAGACTTAGGTTTGTACACTGCAAAGGTCTTACGTTATAAGTGAAATTCTATGAGTTAAATTCAAGAAGCCTGGTTAAATCTATTTATTCAGAAACCTTGAGATGTGGCTCACTATTCGGCCTAGACTGGCCTCACATTTGCAATCCTTATGCCTCAGCCTCTCGCATCATAGGTATGTGCCACCACACCTGGCTAAAAGGTGCTTTAATAAATTCTACAAAAATAAATACATGGGGTTCGGTGGGTGGTTGTTTTGTTTTGCTATTTAAGTTTGCTAGGGAGTCCAGGCTAGGCTAGAACTCCCGTCCTCCTGCCTTGGCCTGATGAGTGTCAGTACTATGGCATAAGCTACCACACCCGGCTCACATTTTGTCCTAACAAAGAAACTGAAGAAAAGCTTGGGGAAAATGGCAACAGAACCAGTCAGAGGTTCTAAAACTATTAACTCACAACCCTGGAGTGTTCTGGGACCTTCTAGGGAACCTGAAAAATCAAAGTATTTTCACAGAACACTAAGATGTTGATGTTGTCGATGATGATAAGGACACCTTTCTAGGTAAGTTAGCAGAGTGGCAAGTTTAGCAATGGTTGTCAGTTACCTTCAAATAGCTATCAGTAGTTGCTGATAAATCTCAAGATCCCTTTTTTGAGGGGTTTTCCACAGGCCATGGATGTACCACAAAGACCAAATACAGGCATAAGAGCCCAGACATCAGGCTGCTCTTGAAGAAAGAAGACCAGGCTGCATTCCCAGCTCTCATACAGTGGGTCACAACTACCTCTAACTCCAATTCCAGGGAATGCACTGCCCTCTCTGGGGCATTGCACGCATTCAGGTAAGACACCCATACACAGGGAAGAAATAAAAATTAAAGATTCCAGATATCTTCAATAACAGACAGTCAAGGGATATACAAAGATGCATTCCTTTTATTAGCCGTAAATGTCACATCCAAATCAACCCCACCCTCCCCAAGACACAGGGAATGTCTCCTGGAAGGGGGGCAGAAAGAATGTAACAGCCAGAGGAGGGGGGTACTCTGCACATGATGCAGCTATTATCTGTACAAAGATCAAGCCAGCCAAAACTCCAGCATGGATGGGGGAAGGGGACGTCAGATTCCATACCTAACAAAGGACCTATTGGCTGCTGGCTGCGTGGGGGGGGGGGAATAGGACAGGGGGGTCATTTTCCCTTGGGGATACTGGAACAGGTTGCCACTGTTCCAATTTCTGTTGCTGTGATAAAAAACACTCTGGCCAAGACCAACTTAAGAAAGGAAGGATTTCTTTGGTTTATTTCCATGTCACGGTCCACTGTGCTGGCTAGTTTTATGTCAACTTGACACAAGCTACAGTCATCAGAGGAGGCAATTGAGGCAACTGAGGAAATGCCTCCATAAGGTTCAGCTGCAGGCAAGCCTGTAGGGCATTTTCTTATTCAGTGATCAATGGGGGAGGGCCCAGGCCATTGTGGGTGGGGCCATCCCTGGGCTGGTAATCCTGTGTTCTATAAGAAAGCAGGTTGAGCAAGTCAGTAAGCAGCACCCTCCATGGCCTCTACATCAGCTCCTACCTCCAAGTCCCTGCCCTACCTGAGTTCCTATCCTGACTTCCTTTTGAAGCTAAATAAACCTTTTTGTGGGTGCCCATAAAGATGGCTACACTCCATCTTGGCACAAGGACCAAGGACAGAGAGTTCAAAGCTGTCAGCAAGTCATAAGACTTAAAGGTCAAAAGTGTGGCTACAGAAGGATGTTTTAGCTGTCTTAGTATAATAACAACACACCTGAATCTGAGGTGTGGCTACTCCTGACCTCAAGGCGAGGGAACAAGAAGTTGGAGCTAAGGTGTGGTTACTTAGAATAAATGAGGAAGAAAAGTCTGTTTGTTCTATATACATGATACTGTGTCCCCCTTTTTGATTAAGGTATATAAGAGTGGTGAAAAATAAACTCATGGCATTTCAGTATTGACTGATCTGCCCTCCTGACCTTTATTCTGTCTGTCTTTCTTTGTTGTCTATAGCTAGCCTTTCCCTCTTCCACACTCCCCCACTCAGGTACAGACTTAGAGCTGCTCAGCTGGCTCCAACCGCAGCCCCACAAAGACGGCTCCCGACACCCTTTCCTCTCCAATTTGCTTTTTGTGTTTAATCTCAGCAATAGAAACCCTGAGTAGGACAACCACAGAGGGAAGTGAAGGCAGGCGCTCAGGCAGGAGCTGCCCTGTGAGCAGGAACCCCGCCCCCATCAATTAATAATCAAGACAGCCGCCCTCCCCAGGCCAATCTGATCTAAGCAGTCACTCCATCAAGGCTTTCCTCTCTGATGACTCTAGGTTATCGCAAGCTGACAAAGCTATCTCAGACAGCCATGCTCCAGTGGCTGCCCATAAACCCGTTACCATGAGCACAAGAGCAGCACACTGTGGACACAATGGGATATTATTTTCAAAAGAGGAGAGAGGAGATGGCAAAGTTGGGAAGGGCAAATGCTGGGGGAGTAGAGGCCAGGGTAGTTGAAGAGAAGAAATGGCAGGTGGTGTGGGGAGACAGACAGACCCTGGAATTTTTCAGAGGCCCCAAGACAGGATCCTTGTCCAGGAGTGGACTTGGCAAGACCACTCTGAGGCTGGAGCCAGTGCCTCAAGGAGTCAAGGTTGTAGCTTCTGGTGATCCTCCCTTCCCCCCCCCCCCGCCCCCCGGGGCTGTTATCGATCCTAAGGCAGCTAAGCCTAAGATATCTTGTGCTCTCTTTGCCAACACAGTCTAATTTGGCTCTCTGCTGACCTTGGCCATTTTCCCCTTGCAAACAGTATAAAAGATGCTGTACTTCTTAATAAAGACCACAGACAGCAAGACCACCAGACCCCAGCATTTATCTTCTGTCTTCTATCTTCTCATCCCCTGGCACTCCCCATCAGGACTTTGTCAAGGTACAAAAACCTGCTGGTCCAGGTCAGGATAGAAGTGACTAAAATTGTCCAATAGAGAAAATACTGTTTAAAAATGCACTCTTCTAGCTGGGCAGTGGACACACCTTTAGTTCCAGCACTCGGGAAACAGAGACAGGTAGATCTCTGTAAGTTCGAGGCCAGCCTGGTCTACAGAGTCTGTATCAAGCCATCCAAGGCTGCACAGAGAAACCCTGTCTTGAAAACAAACAAAAAATGCTCTCTTCTAACATGTTTCCCCAAACAAGCATTTTTCACGATGATGTTCATGTTAACAAAGTACTGAGGTTAATTGTTCCTATTTAAAATGAAAAGTCCTTAGCCAGGTGTGGGGGGAGCATGGACTTCTGTGAGTTCTAGGCCAACCAGAGTTACAAATGAGATCTTGTCTCAAAACAAAACAAAGTAATAACAATAGTAATAATTAATGGGCTTAGCCATTAAAGGCTAGGCTTACAGCCAAAAACATAATAATGAAAAGTTCTCTACTGCTTAGTGTTAATTCCAATTTGATAAATACATAATTAGAACTAGAGGTTAAACATTAATCAAGAGTAATGTCCACATAGATACATTGTGATAGGAAAAGGCTCTCAGGAAGGGTCACTTGATCGACTCAGTGTAAAAAAAAAAAAAAAATGCAGGTTTTAAACATTTCCATACCACTCCAGAGTGGTCAGAAGGCCCTGCAAATATACAATCCCTATTCCTAGCAAAGTGGGCTCACTATGTAATTAGAACAGGCACTCTATGTCACGCAGCACCAGTACATGCTACCATCATGGTGGAAACACCTCCAGGACCAGCCTCCAC